GGGCTTTTTTAATTGCTCAGTAGAATATATCATGCTGCCATTTCTGACTTCAGGTCTCTGGGAGGGATCCGGAAAGAGACGAGTACACACCTGGAATAAAAAAAAAATACTACTACTACTACTACTACTAATAATAATAATTATTATTATTATTATTATAATAATAAAGATACTATGAAAATACAAGGATATTGAAATGGAAATCTTGAAAATGTGGCACATGAAGACATCATTTTGGAGCTCTTGGATTGATTGGAAAAGGAACCGATAGACTTATCGAAGGGATTCCTGGAAGACCATACCTTAAAGAAATACAAAAAAAAATGTACTCATAACTACAGTTCATATATTACGAAGAGCTTTATCTATGTAAAATTTGTGTGATCTTATTTATTTTTCATTAACAAAAATGATCAGTGGAAAATGTCTTGAAGCCATTTATGATATTAGTTCTCAGGTTGAGAGCCGGAAGGAAATGAGTATACAACAGAAATCAAAGGAAATAATAATAATAATAATAATAATAATAATAATAATAATATGTGTGAGTTTTTTTTGTTTTTTTTAATTGCTCAGTGGAACATGTCTGGACGACATTTCTATCCTTAGGTCTCTTGGTGGGACCCGGAAAGGAAATGTGTATACAGCAGAAATCAAAGGGAATAATAATAATAATAATAATAATAATAATAATAATAATAATAATGGACTCTTCCGTCAGTTTCGAAGTATGAAGATCTGAAAACTTAACGAATTGATTCGGTTATGAAATGATGTGCGATAATCTTAAGCGGCACTTAGGAGCCGCTAGTGATTTACAAAGGAGGCCGCATATGGAGCAAGAGTGAAGATTGTGGGGTGAGATCACTGTTAGATGGGCTGATCTTTTAGATCTTGTTCTCGCTTCTTGAAGACGATTCAGACGAGAAGATTGAAAACAGCTGAGTTCACTAAAACATGTTGATCTCCATTCTATCCGCTCCAAGTGTTCGATGGTGTTATGAGGTATATTGACAGCAGACAATAATAATAATAATAATAATAAATGTAATACTACTGCTACAATGAACATCACCCAGACCTGGTTACAGGGATAAGACCTGTTACAATTTTATAGGACTTTAAAATACACACAGGCAGAACAATCAAAGCTAATCTGCCTGACATCGGGATCAAAGAAAACATGAACAGAATGTGAGTTATTATTGACATGACAGTTCCTGCAGATAGCAATGTTCCATTAAAGATCTTCAAGACACTATGAAAATACGATAATCTTGAAATCGAAATCTCAAAAATGTGGCACATGAGGGCATCAATAATTCCAGTTGTATTTGGTGCACTCGGATTGATTGGAAAAAGGTTCCGATAGACCCATTGGATGGATTCCTGGTAGTCCATGACTTAGAGAAATAAAAAAAATCCTCACAAGTACTGCCACACCTTTTTTCTTTTTATGTGCCATGTCCTTTCAGGACGTAGGCGATCATGGCTCTCCACCTCCCTTTATCCCTTGCAGCTCTTAGCAAATTCCTTCCCTCTGCTTTCTCTCCCAGACCACGTTCTGTCATCTATCTGCTTAAGCTAACCAGGTATGTCACACGCTGATATCCCTTGTCTCTCTTGACATGGCAGTCCCTGCAGACTGCAATGTATCTTTTAAGGTCTTTAAAAAAAAACTATCAAACTACAAGGACCTTGAAATCGAAATCCCCAAAATGTGGCACATGAGGACAGCAGTAATTCCAGTTGTAGTTGGAGCCCTCGAACTGATTGGAAAAGGGTCCCGACAGACTTATTGAAGGGATTCCATCGGAAACTTTTCCAATCAATCAAAATATAACTGGAATTATTATCGATATCGATTAGATTTGACTTTAAGGCCACTCGGCTCCCATGCTTTAAAAAATACAAGAAATTGTTCTTACTAGTGCAGCTCGCACATTACGAAAGGCCTTATCTATTTAAAATGTGTGCGATCTTTCATTGCTTATTTTTCTTCTTCTAATTTAACAAAAATACTCAGTGGAAATCCTCATGAAGTCATTTCTGTCTTAGGTCTCTGGTTGGGACCCGGAAGTAAATATGTATAGAACAGAAATCAAAAGAAATAATAATAATATTAATAATAATAATAATGTCAAAACGAGGAATCTTGTCACTTGCAAACCGCTTGTATCATCCTAATGTCGATGTTAATTGTCTGTATGTGCCCAGATCCGAAAGAGGCAGAGGATTAGTTCAACTAGAACTGTCTTACAAGGCCAAAGCAATCGATCTTCAAAGATACCTGGAAACTATAGAAGACTGGATAATCGTCTGTATGTGGCACCCTGCATTATTAGAAAAACTAAAAAGAAATATTCATAGAAATATGATTTAATTTTTATTCGATTTATTAACCAGTTGTTAGTTATTTAGACGAAGAATAATTAAGTTTTGAGAATAATTCTCTAATTGTATTTAGGCGACCCTAAGGGAAGAAGAAGGGGAAAAGAAAAAGGAAAAGAAAAGAAAAGGAGAGGAGGAGAAATAGATAATCCGGTCATAACAGGTGTCAAGAGATATCTAGGCCAACGCGCCTGACCGAATTTCAAAAACAATGGAAATTGTTATTTGAAAGAATAAGTTTAGAGATAGTGAACGGACATGGTAAAAGTGTATGAACATACGTACGATTGATAAAAATATCGGTCAAAACATCTGGCCTACTTTTGTGTAGAAGCTCATTATCAATTTGGAGAAATGGGATTTTTAGAACAATGGAAAACGAAATATTAATCGGAGAAGGGTGTCTTTTGGGATGAGAAGGTGACCGCTGGAATTGTATACAGATCCTGACCTGTTGAAAATTAGAACCCCCACGATGATGAAGTGAAGACATTTTCAATTCAGATAATTAAGATTTTTGACTATCAGGTCTGAGCAGAAACAAAGAGGTGAAAACAATTGTTTTGGCTCACAGAAAGCGCCAGCGAGACGAGAAAAATTCTTCCTGAAGTCATATCTAATTAGCGGCGGGCTGTTTTGACAAAAAGCCAAAAAAGTGAGAAAGGCCGAGATTGTCATTTTCGTGCGTGCGAAAAAGGTCAAATTGGATTTTTGTTTTTTTAGCAAGGTGTCTCTTTCCCAGAACAAAGCCGGGATAGACCACGCCCGATTGGAGACGTCACGAAGGACGGGAGACGCCCAACCAGAATCTCATTAGCCGAAAGCGGTCACGTGATATGCGAGAAAGAGGAGAAAGGACGCTCGACCAAGACCCATTGGTCGAAAACGGTCACCTGACATACGAGAGACCGGGAGAGATAGGTATGCATCTCCCACCCAGAGGCACTGTGAGGAAGTAGGGGTGAAAATAAGAGCGATAATGGGAAATCAGAAATAATGTGACTTTTGGAATTATCAAGAAAACCCTGACGCCGACAGACCCACCCTAGTTTGTTGCGGCGTCAATAAAAGCAGGACCCCACTCGACAGAAATCAGAGAGTTGCGGGGTAGACGGCCAGAGCAGTTGGAATGCGGGCGGCAGGCCCGGTTCACTCGCCCCTTTGCGGGCAAGAGAATCCAGAATGAAGAAATTCGTCCAGCCAAGTCGAAGAGAAGAAAATTGCTCGTAAAGCTGCAGGCCAGACAGGCAGAAGAATTGCAGGCCAGACAGGAAGAAGAGCTGCAGGCCAAACAAGCAGAAGAATTGCAGGCCAGACAAGAAGAAGAGCTGCAGGCTAGACAAGCAGAAGAATTGCAGGCCAGACAGGCAGTGAAGTTGCAGGCCAAACAGACAGAAATCAGTTCAGCCCCGGACGGCAGCGAGAAGAGTTCACTTCCCCGGAAGGCAGAGAGAAGAGTTCACCTCAGACGGCAGAGAGAAGAGTTCGGACCTTGGCGAGAAGAGTTGCAGGACGGAAGAAGAAGAAGTTACTTGCAGTTACGCATAGAAGAAGTTGAAATCAAACCAAGCCTAAGAACAGAGATTCGTCCAGCCCAAATCGAAGTGAAGAAATTCGTCCAACTCAATCTGAAGTGAATAAGCTCGTCCAACTCAAGCCGCAGAGAAGAATCAGCCGTGAACGACTGGTAGAGATTAGCGCCCAGTGTCGAAACTAAACCACACTCCGACATACAAAATTCTAGAGAGTAGGCAACTCGAAGTCTTTAAGTTGTATGATAGAAGCTTGGTGCCACAGTCCACAAAGCGGGTCGGGAAGTAAGAATAATTTTTATGTAACGAACATTAGATATAAAAAGGTTGTTACCCTTTTTTTATCAGTAATTTTTGGCCTCGTGAGTTTTTTCTTTTACTTGTGTGTTGCCACCCCGTCGAACTCAGCTTGCATACGGCCCCAATCCCTGTTTGATCCCGTCTGTCTAAGATCTAATCACAACGTGGGTATGCAGACCGGAGATCAGTACAGTTACCCTAGTAACCAGGTGTTGGAAGCGAGTTGAGAACGGCGAGGCTGGTAATCATCTAACCAAAGGGTTGGAACGTCACACTTGGAGCAGCGAGGAGCGAACAGCTGACGCCGCGGCAAAAACGTCACGTCACAGTTGGAGCCGCGAACGAGATCGAGCGACAGAGTCGACGCTGCGACCAGGAGGAGCGACGTCACAGTTGGCGTCGTGACCAAAGGATTCGACCCTGGACCAAGTGACGTCACAGTATTAAACAACATGAAAGAAATAAGAATGTTTATTCAGTAATAAAGGCTGAAAAAAATGTACATACAACGACAGCTCACATATTACAAAAAAAACTTTATCTATGAAAAATATGTGTTATCTCAGATTTTGTTTTGTTTTCATAAAAATGATCAGTGGAAATTGTCATGAAGCCATTTCTGAACTTAGGTCTCTGGTTGGGACCCGGAAGGAAATAATAATAATAATAATAATAATAATATAATGATAATGAAACTTAGCAATGTTACTAAAATTAAGTGAACATTCCTCCCGGTTTCATGTTATTCTAATTTTCCATATCGTACATACAGTTTGCCTATACTTTTGGGTAGAAGTTTCGTTCTAAGAGCAGGACAAACCTCTCTGTTAATGCATACGCGGCGAGAGCCACTTCCGGTCTCGAGTTAGACTTTTGGGTGCCGACATCTTCTGAAAATCCAGTTTCGTAAGAAGAAGAAGAAAGAGATGTAAAGGAAGAATAGAAGAAGAAGAGGAAAGAAAAATGCAAAGCAGAAAGAAAGAACGAGAAATAAAATGAGAACAATCTGAAGAGAAATGAAGAAGAAGAAGAAGAAGAAAAAGAAGAAGAAAAAGAATTAGATGATGATGATGATGATGATGAAAGAGGGAACTGAAAAGAAAAAGAAAGTGAGATAAAAGAAGAAAAGAGGAAAGAAAAATTGAAATAAAATAGTAGAGAAATCAATGAAAGCCTACGACGAAGGAAGAAAGAAAGAAAGAAGAAGAAGAAGAAGAAGAAGAAGAAGAAGAAGAAGAAGAAGAAGAAAAGAGGAGGAATTGAGCAGAAAAAAGGAAAGAAGGTGAGGAAAAAACAGGAAAAAAAATGGAAGAAGAATTTAATTGAAATAGGAGCGTAATCAATGAAAGCGTACGCGAAAGAAAGAGACAAAGAAAGAAAGAAAGAAAGAAAGAAAGAAAGAAGAAAAAGAAAGAAAGAAGAAAAAGAAGAAAAGAAGAGAAACTGAGTAAAAAAAACGAAAAGAGAGGAAAAAGAAGAAAAGGGCAAAGAAAAATAGAAAAGAAATAGGAGCGAAACCACGAACGAGAAAGAAAGAAAGAGACAAAGAAAGAAAGATTAAAAAGAAGAAGAAGAAGAAGAAGAAGAAGAAGAAAAGAGGAGGAACTGAGTAGAAAAAAAAAGAGAGGGCAAAGAAGAAAAAAAGGAAAGAAAAACTGAAATGAAATAAGAGCGAAATCAATGAAAGCGTACGAGAGAGAAAAAAAAGAGACAAAGAAAAAAGAAAGAAAGAAAGAAAGAAAGAAAGAAAAAGAATAAGAAGAAATATCAATTACATTCATTCCCTTCAATGTTTGTTGATATCATTGAGTGATGGTGCTAACAAATTGCAAAAGACCCACGTAATCCAATTGACATATGCATCCACGTCAGGGTCAATCTTGTATATACGAAAGCTTAGCCCTTTCACATGAATAAAAGGGAAATTAAATTGTGATCCGATTGTTTTCCCTAAATGTCATTTCCATATTAGGCTGATGCGAAAATCCCGAGTGCCATCATTTACCCAAGATTAGAAACATCTTAAAGGTACCTGGTATTAGTACAGTCAATGAACTACATTATATAGTTGACAAGCTTTTAGAAAATCTTTGAAGTGAGTTCACTGGGTTTGGCGTAGATTGTTGAAATTTTTCACATATTATTCGAAATAAAAAAAAAAGAAATTATTTTTCAACAACTTAATATATATTAATACAATTGTCCCAACAATTCATGCAAATTCATTGAAATAACCGCTTTGATTGTCTTTCTTTCGCTATTTGGTCAGTAATTCTTCCACACCCTGTAACCCCTTGCGTCTTAGTGGATTTGTTGCCTTTCTTGTGAAACTCCCTTCCGTTTCCATGCTTTCTAGCCAACTTTAATCTGCAATAATTTAAATGCAATGTCGATCGCTATCTACTGTCCTCCTGATTACTCTTTCCTCTTCCCGCTCATTATTAATGTTTCTGTTCCTAATTCTTCCACACCCTGTAAATCCTTGTGTCTTAGTGGCTTTAATACCTTGCTTGTAGATCTCCCATCTGAGTACATGCTTTCCATCCAAATTTAATCTACAGAAATCCAAATTCAATGTCAATCGCTATCTACTGTCCTCCTGATTACTCTTTCCTCTTCCGGCTCATTATTAATGTTTCTGTTCCTAATTCTTCCACACCCTGTAAATCCCTGTGTCTTAGTGGCTTTAATACCTTGCTTGTAGATCTCCCATCTGAGTACATGCTTTCCATCCAAATTTAATCTACAGAAATCCAAATTCAATGTCAATCGCTATCTACTGTCCTCCTGATTACTCTTTCCTCTTCCCGTTCATTATTAATGTTTCTGTTCCTAATTTCTTCCACACCCTGTAAACCCTTGTGTCTTAGTGGCTTTATTGCCTTGCATGGGGTGATACCTATTTAAAAGAAAATCGTATTACATCTCATATTAACAATTTAATAATAAAATCAAAAGCAATACGATCTAAATTAGTAATAAAAATTAAAATTAATTGGCAATGATTTATTAAATAAATTCGAAGAATATTGCATTTTATTGACCAATGAAACAAAGACCCAGATGCATAGAAAGGTAGGTTATCATTTAAAAAGCAAATACTGCGGGCAAGAAAGAAATCTGTCGTTCTCAGATATTCAGAAAAAAAATATGGGGAAATAAATAAGCAAATGATAAAACAATATCGCCAACTTATGTTATTGCAATCTTTCTGGCTTTATAAATAATCGACGAGACTAGTAGGGAAATTGTAAACATACGAACTGATAGGGATGGATATAAAAAAAAACAGAAATAAAGTAAAGAGTCAAATAAAAAAAATGATCCTCATAAAATATTTACAATCTTTGTCTACAATGAGTGGAAAAAACATTAATCAGATTTTAAAAAAATGATGAGACTTGACAATTGAATACAAAATCACTTCTGTATCTGTCTATATTTCTGAGATGAGGTATTATGTACAATATTTATATTATTCGGATTATTGTCCTCATCTTTGTCGCCATATTTATTACAACGTTTCGGCCTTTCAGTATCTGTCTATATTTCTGAGATGAGGTATTATGTACACTATTTACATTATTCAACTATTGTCCTCATCTTTGTTACCATATTTATTATAACGTTTCGGCCCTTCAGTATCTGTCTATATTTCTGAGATGAGGTATTATGTACACTATTTACATTATTCGGTCTATTGTCCTCATCATTATTGCCATATTTATTACAATGTTTCGGCCTTTCAGTATCTGTCTATATTTCTGAGATGAGGTATTATGTACACTATTTACATTATTCAGACTATTATTTATCATTATGGCCATATTCATTATCAACGTTTCTTTCTTTATTGTCTATATTTCTGAGATGATGGTATTATTACTTATTTACATTATACGGACTTTCGGCATCGTTGAATATTTATTACAACGTTTCGGCCGTTTACGTTTCCGGCCTTCTTTCAGGTGGTTGGAATGTCGAACTGAACCTTTTATTTCGCTCACTGGGGTAGACTGTTCTAGTTCCATGTGCCATGTTTTAATGGATGTCAGTTATCAGTTATCTCCTGTTAATTCTCCTTTCCAAGTTCTCCACTGCCTTAACCGGGTATTGAACTCACACTCTTTGGGTCCTGTCACTGGATCTAACAAACGCCTTTATCCACTGTGCCATGTGTTACTTCTATTTACCAAATTTGTCTTGGATTGACACAAGGTTAATCGTACTTGGTCGTCATCAACCGTCAGTTTAGTGCCATACAGCTAGAAGGTTCAAAGGCCGAAACGAAGATCTGGACAATGGTTTGCATATCAGTCAGTTAAGTGCCATACATGATACATGCTTGGACGATCATGTCTCTTTCAATTCCTGGCTGACAATCAGAAAATATTTCCGCAGGAGGCTGCTGCTTCTATCTGCGGTAGATTGGTTGACAACCAATGCAATCCAGTCACTTCTAATATTGAACGAGTAAACAGGGAGAGAAGATGTGGATTCACACCTTTCTCAAGATGTGAACCCACTCGTTTCTTTGCGTAAGTGAACGTGACGAACCCGGCTGAATTCGAACTCGGCATTCCGATTTGTCATTTCGAGCCGATAGTGGTCATAATTAACCGTAATTCGTGGAAAAACTATGGAATCAGGCATAGCTGATCATATATGAAGTGAAAAAGTACTCACGAACTCGGAGCCGAATAACACCAGAAAGTGGTCATTATTAGCCGACATACGGTCCGTTTAAAATCAGAACAATATATCACAAGCAGTTCGGCGCTACAGAAAAATCATGATTAAGAACTACGTGTACAGAATCCATTGCAGCTGTAGCAAAGAATGCAAAGGAGAAATCCGTCAAGCCTTAAAATTAAGGATGAGATATGATCGAAAAACCGTAAATAGTGGCAAAACTATAGAATCAGGCATAGCTGATGATGATGTTTTTACAGGGTCTATTGGGCAGGACATATTCATATAACATATAAAACATAACAAATAATAGACCATTATACAATTCAACATGAAAAAGACGATGTACATAAAAACAATACAATTCAAATCCAAACAGATAACTGAAATCTTTTATAAGATCAGCGTTCCGTTTAAATATGATCACGTCGTCGTCACGTGGACGATATTGTGAAAACGTATTCCTAAAATTTGAGTATTTTGAATGAAAAACGAAAAGAATTTTATTTTGAGTTGTATATGGTCTATGTTAATTATGTTTTATGAATATCTCCAGAAGATGGTCTATGAGACCGAAACGTCCGACGTTGACATTAAACATTAAAACAGCATAATCGCATATTAGGATTTTTGTTTTGTTTTTTCCGTATATTTTTCTCCATACTGTCGGATCTATATCCATATATTTACTTACATATATATATATATATATATATATATATATAAATCTTTAGACACTTAACGGCGTAAAATGGTGCCAATAACTCTATGTCGTTAAGACGGATTAGACAATGTGCGTATAGGAATGTCATCATTCGCTTTGAAATGGATACCCCAGCCCTGACTTGGCTTGGCTTCCTTCCGAGAGTGACTGATATATTAATACAAATTGTTAACCCTTACGCTCCCTATTGGACTGGTCGCTTCAGCCGTTTCCATAGTAATTAATTCTACGAATGAATCTGCTTACAAAGATGCGTAGGCTTCATTAATTTGTGATTCAAAAAATTTCGCTTGAGGATGAAACAGAGCTTTCGGCTTTTGTTTTTGAAACATGAGAACTCTTATGTAACGAAGGAATCATATTTTAATAAAAAAATATTTATAATTATAATTAAGGCCCGACTTTTGTATTGAGCACTGTTTTTTAAAAATAAAAAAAATAAAAAAATACTAAAGACCTTTGGATTATTTACCTAACATGTTCTTTCCTATTTTTCTATATATTTGCACACACACACACACACACACACACACACACACACACACACACACACACACACACATATATATATATATATAGAGAGAGAGAGAGAGAAACTGCAAACATACACACACACACACACACACACACATATATATATATATCGTGTATATATATATATATATATATATATATATTTATATAAATATTTGGTTGGATTGATGTGAGCTTGTGACCCTGGGTTTCACGCTTTTGCGATCGTCAGACAAACTGATTAATTTTTTAAAAATTTTGGGTTTATGCAGATTGCGTGTATTGGTGTTATTATGGAAGTGGGGGGGATCGTCATCGTGATGTCACTCAGGCTAACGCAAACATACATGCATGTCCGTACACCCGATGAGGTACGCAGACACACATACACACTCGCTCGTCCACCGGGGCTCATACAGACATAAACATATTTGGACAGTATGGGATTTGACATATGTATGTATATGGGTGCTGTTGTCTATATACGAACGCATTTGTATGTTGAAATTCAAAGATCGGAAGTGTAGCGAAAATTTCTCGTGAATGTCTCGTGAATGTATACATGTCAGCAATCAGAGCATTTTTCTATTTTTTCGCTGAATAATATTTCCTCGCATGCACGTATATATATAGAAGAAGAAGACGACGACGACGACGAAGAAGAAGAAGAAGAAGAAGAGGAAGAAGAAGAAGACGACGACAACGACGACGAAGAAGAAGAAGAAGAAAAAGCCAATGTACTGTAAATTCATCGGTCGGGGAGTGGTTTTAAATCACTTTTTTTATTCAGCCTCATATGCACTTAAGAAAAATTTTCTGATATGTACAAAAGGTCTTAAGATTTCGGATTTC